GAGTCGATAGAGGGAGATCTGCAGCTTGGCCAGCCACAGCGGGAAATCGTGCTGCATGCACGCCTTCTGCAGGTTGCCGTGCAAGATCTGCTCGAAGGCCTTCCACAGGTCCATCATGATTGACGCCGAGGCCCAGTCCTGACCTCTGTTCAGCTCGCCCATCATCTGGACCCATTCTGCCCGCGCCTGCTGCTGCCACACAGCCCTGTCGCAGCTCTTGCCTGAGCTGGCCCACCAGTAGTCTCTGTCGTGCGCCGCCTCCCAATCCTTCGCGATGCGCCTGCGGAGCCTGCCGTGTATGCGTACCGCCGCCCCCAGTAGCGCGATTGGGCGGAGCCCCCCGTCCGACTTGGGGATGAAGGCCATCTTGGTGATGAATGCGGGCCAGTCGCACTGCAGCTCGATGGCGACCAGCAAGTCGATGAGCGCCTCGATCCCAGCGTCGTCGAGCACGCCCAGCTCGCGCGGGCGCAGCGCGTCGAACGATGAACCGCTGGAGTCCCTGAAGGTGGCGATGACCTCCCTGATCTCGCTCACCGTCGGTCGGGCAGGGCGCTCGCCGAGATCGTCTGGCCACTCGAGCGGCTCCAGTGCGAGCTCGCTCCCCAGCGGCGTGGGGGCCCCTACTCCCCAGTACCCTGACCACTCCTTCACCAGGGCTTGGACCGTCTGAGAAAGCGTACGAGGCTCGATCCCTGGGGCACCAGAGATCCTGGTTTGCCAGCCCTGCGGAGGTTTGGTCCAGGAGTGGAGGGCCCCCGTACCTCGAGCGTGGTTCTCGGCGACCCAGTCTGCGAAGCAGGCCTTCGCCTTGTCCGCATCCCGCTGCACCAGCTTGTCCGCCATGGTGGCGGCGATGAGGCTCGCTACCTGCAGCTGGGGTAGATCCATGGACTGCGCCGCCTGCGCAAAGCCCAGCAAGGCGATGTGGGCCTGCGTCGTCTCCTGCCTGGTGTCGGACTCGAAGTCAGGCTGCGCACTGCACAAACGATCGAGCGCCTTGAGCGCCGTGTGCCTCTTCAACTCGAGGTCAGTCTGAGCAGCATCCTTGAGCGCGATGGCCACGCTCTTGCACCACGATGCGGTGATGGCCACCCTCGGCAGCCTGGGCGCCGTTGGTTTCAGCACTTTGACCAGTGCCAGCCATGGGCGCCGCTCTCGTCCAGCGAACTCGTAGTACGCGTGCTTGAGGCCAATGGCATCCAGCAAGTACCGCTCCGCGCAGTGGATGAAGATCTGCCACATGCCGCCCAGCGAGGATGACGCCGCCATGCGGCCGCGCGCCTCCGCCCACCTCTGGGAGTGGTCCTCGGCGCAGCACGCCTTGGGTAGAGGGTACGGGAACTTCTTGGGCACCTTCATGACCTGCATGTACCTGTTGACCGAGCTGGCGTTGAACTTGAGCTCTACAGGGAAGTGGGGCGCAATATCCCATCCAAGCTTGATCTCTGCATGTGCTTCGGAGATCACGTGAGAGATGACGAAATCGTCAATCACTCTGCCAGACGGCCTTATGGTGCCGTCCGTTGGTGAGACCACTCTGCCTCCGACGCGCTCAAAGAAGCCTGAGCACTGCAACTCGTGGGGCTCCATAGTGAAGTCCCCCGCGATCACGAACGGCTTGCCGATGGCTCGAATCGCCATCGCGATGCCGTCGAGGATGCCGAGGTTGTAGGCTGAGAGGCCTTCGCCAACCTTCAAGTAGACGTTGATCCATGCCAGTCCCCCAGGAAAGGGGCCTGCCACATGCGCGACTGCCGCGCGACCTGGCGCGAGCACCGTCGGCTGCCCCGCCTCGAACTCACCAAGGCCCGAAGACCTCGGAGCCAACTGCAGGAGACCACCGTGCCCTGCGTGTCCCGCAAAGACGTCGGTGGCAGGAATGGCCACCGCATGCCATCCCAGCCTCTGCAGCTTGTCGGTGACCTCGTAGCACCTCTCCTGAGACAGGTGCGTCTCCTGGACTGCGATGAGGTCGCAGCTCCTGAGACTCGTAGCCGAGGATGCTCTCGAACCTGCTATAAGCGTTGGCGTTGATGGAGAGAGCTGTCCACCATCGCCCGCTAGGGTAGCTACCCTGAGGTCCGCGGCTTCTTGACAGAACGCAGGACCTCCAGGGCATCACGGATCCTCTTGCGCTGCTCGTCGTCGTCGCCGCAGCCGCCAAGAAGCCCCCCAGGATCTTCTTCGCCCGGGAAGTCGTCGAAGTCGACGCCGCTCTCGGCAGGCGTCGCCCCCGCTGCTGGCGTCCCTGCGGCCTCTCCTCCGCCAGGCTGGGCTGCAGCTGGCTCGGGAACGGGCGCTGCTCCACCTGCAGCAGCGGGCGCCCCACCCTGCGGGCGGGCTGCCTTCGCCTCCTCAGCGAGCTCGTTGACCATCTTGGACAGCTGCTCGAGGAGGTCCTGGCCTGAGACCCCGTCGGTGTTGAGCGAGCCGAGCTTCTCCTTGATTGCATCAGGGCTGATGCCTCCACCGTAGAGCGCGGCTGCCTCACGCTTGGCCTCCGCGAGCTCTTGCTGCAGCTGCGCGATGATCTCCTTGGAGGCGTGCACCTGCTCCAGCGCCTTGCGAGCCACCTCAGTTTCACGCTTAAGCCGATCTTGAGCGTCTGCAAGCTGCCGAGCCAGCCCGTCCACCTTCTGGGGCGCCGACTTCCCAACCAGGCCGAGAGCATGGGCACGGCGAGCAGCATCCACCTTACCCCGCGAGGACTGCGTGAGGGTGTGCTTCGTCGCGTCCCACGTCTCCTGCGTGAAGGTGGCCCAGACCTTGACCTCCTCCGCACTGAGAGTGGTGCCAGAGGAACTCTTGTCTCCACCAGCACTCTTGCCCTTGAAGAGCTTGCCGTTGTGCCCCCACTGGTTGCTCGGCGGCGAGTCGGCCCACTTGCCCCGAGACGGAGGCTGACGAAGCTGCCACGGCTGGTGCCAGGGCTGCCCTGCTCCGCGAGGGAAGCGAGGTCGCATGCCTCCGCACCCCGCCTTCGAGCACCGAGTGCGGTCGGCGGCGTGGTACTCTCCACAAACGCACTGCCACTGGGGTGCCATGGCCGAGACACACACAGTGTTATAAGTGCCAAAACGAGGGGAGCCGCGCGCGCCGCTGGAGGTCGAGCTCGGGAAACAGAGCTATCCCGTGTTTGCCAGGAGGCTCGCAGCCCCCCAAGCATTGGGTCTTGAGCCAAAATGGCTACGGAGGGATTGGAGTCACAGGAGAAGGGCAGTCTATAGGAGCACGCATAAAGCACCAAGGACTCGTGCCCCAGGGGAGGCCCAAAATACAGGAACAGACGTAAAACAGATAGGATTGTATACACAGGAGAAGGACAATACATAGAAACATACATATAACATCAAGGATTCGTGCTCCAGGTGAGGCCCAATATATAGGAGCATACGTAAAACACATGGGATTGGAGCCACTCCTGTTGCCTTCTGAGGCCTCCTGCTCCTGGGGCCTCTCGGGGCCTCCTGTTGCCTGGGCCTCCTGGCGCTTCCTGTGGCCTCCTGGGGCCTCCTATGGCTTCCTGAGGCCTCCTGGAGCTTCCTGGGGCCTCCTGGAGCCTCTTGGGACATCATGTGGCCTCTTGAATCTTCCTGTAGCCTCCTGATGCCTCCTGGCACGTCATGTGGCTTCCTGGAGCCTTCTGAAGCCTGCTGGAGCCCCCTGTGGCATCATGGGGAGAATATGTGCCCACGAGTCTGGCCACCAAAACAGTCAAACCGACCGAGACATCCTCAAAATCTGGCCCCCCTGGGGGGGCGAAAATGAGCGCCTCGCTCGAGGCATCCTCCAAATCTGCTCCAAAAGCGGAGGATGTTGAGGACCAAAACAGGCAAACCGCCTGAGACATCCCCGCCAGTTGGGCGCGAACGGAGGCCGTGCAATACCCCTGGCGGCCCCCCCTTAGGAGGCGCCTCGCACGAGACATCCTCAAAATCTGCTCCGAAAACGGAGGATGTTGGGGACCAACACAAGCAACCCGCCTGAGACATCCCCACCATTTGGGCGCGAACGGAGGCCGTGCAATACCCCTGGCGGCCCCCCCTTAGGAGTGCTAAAACCAGCAAACCGCTCGAGACATCCTCATCATCTGCTCATCGTCATCACCACCATCATCATCATCATCATCATCATCATCATCATCATCATCATCATCATCATCATCATCATCATCATCATCATCATCGTCATCATCGTCATCATCGTCATACTCATCCAACATCATCATGCTCCTCCATCATTCACCATCACCATCAGACTCACATCATACTCTCACCATACCATGGTCATCATCATGACAATCATCATCATTGTCTAGTGCAGAGAGGGAGGAGGGGAGGGGTTCACCATCCTTTGGATATGTGGAATAACAAGAACCCCATCTTAGGATATGTGCAAAATGCACAATAAAATGACAAAAAAACAACCAACAACAAAAACATGCACAAAAAATCGTCCCCTGACTATGTTTCACTCTTTTTGATCATTCCTCCTGTAGAGGGACAAGCCCGACTTAATGCAAGCCGGGTGGGGCCGCACCGGCACGCGGCCGGAATCGAAGCGGATCGGCCCCTCTCCCTCCCCATCCCCTCCCTCCTCGTCCTCCTCCTCGGCATCCCCCGCCTCTGGAGGAGGGGCTGTGCGGAGAGAAACTCCCGCCCGAGGCAGCGGGGCGCACGCCCCGAGGGGTCGCGGCCGCCGCCGAACGACGACGACGACGACGCTCGACGCCCGAAGGCCGACGAACGACGACCGACGATGACGGTCCGACGACGACGGACGGACGACGTGGTGACGGACCGACGGAGCAACGATGGACAGACGGGCCCACGACGGACCGACGGACAGACGGACCGACGGACGGTCGGACAGACGGACGACAACAGTCCCGACGACCGACGACGACCGACGGCAGACGACCGACGACGACGGCAACGACGACCACGGCAACGACGACGACGACGACGACGACGATGACGACCAGCGGCGGCGCGCACCCAGGTCGCTGTAGGCCACCTTCTCGGTGCCGGTGACACGCCGGCGGGCACGCTGGGATAGGCAGGACCTCGGAGGCGTCGTCGTCACCACCGACACGATCCATCCATCTCCTCCATCTCGTCCATCTCTTCCATGTCCTCCTGCTCCTCCTCCTCCTCCTCCTCCTCCTCCTCCTCCTCCATCTCCTCCTCCTCGTCCTCTGCCTCCTCCTCTTCCATATCATCTACATCCTCAACCTCATCATCCCTCCTCCTCCTCATCATCCTCCGACGCCTCCTCCCTCCTCATCCTCTCCTCCTCGTCATCCTCCTCCTCCTCATCAACATCAGCATCATCATCATCATCATCAGCAGCATCAGCACCATCATCATCATCATCAACAACAGCATCAGCATCATCAGCATCATCAGCATCATCATCATCATCATCGTCGACATCGTCCTCATCATCATCGCCATCATCGTCATCACCATCACCATCATCATCATCATCATCAGCAGCAGCACCAGAATCCTCATCATCATCATGATCATCATGATCAGCAGCAGCATCAATCGATCGATCAATCAAATACAACAGCATCATCATCAGCAGAAGCAGCAGCAGCAGCATCATCATTAGCATCAGCAGCAGCATAGTCATCATCATCATCATCAGCAGCGTCAGCATCAGCATCATCAGCATCAGCATCATTGTCATCAGCAGCAGCACCATCAGCATCATCATCACCATCACATGACCATCACCGTCACCATCAGCATCACCATCATCATCATCATCATCAGCAGCAGCATCAGCATCAGCATCGACATCATCATCATCATCATCAGCAGCAGCATCAGCATCATCATCGTAATCAGCATCATCACAAGCACAATCACTCATCATCACCATCACAAACACCACAACCATCACCACCATCATCCTCCGTCCTCATCCTAATCATTACCGTCATCATCATCATCATCATCAGCATCATCATCATTATCGGCAAAGTCATCGTTTTCCTCCTCCTCCACATCATCATCATCATCAGCATCATCATCAGCATCATCATCAGCATCAACACCATCATCATCACCATCACCATTACCATCACCATCTCCACCACACCATCATCACCAACATCATCATAATCGTCGTCGTCATCGTCAGCGTCATCGTCATCAGCATCGTCATCGTCATCATCATCATGATCACCACCTCCATGATCATCACCATCGTCATCATCATCGGCAGCAGTATCATCAGCATTATCATCCTCATCGTCATCGCCATCACCATCGTCATCGTCATCGCGATCGTCATCTGCAGAAGCAGCAACATCATCATCCTCATCATTATCAGCATCATCACAAGCATCATCATCATCATCATCATCATCATCATCACCAACATCGTCAGCAGCGTCATCGTCATCATCATCATGGCCTTCATCATCTCTTATTCGTCCCTCTTCTTTCCTCTTCTCTCTCCGCCAGGACCAGCCGGACCTCGGCGGCGGAGGCGGAGGAGCCGCCGAATCGCTGAAGGGCCCCAGGAGTGCAGGTCCCCCCCCCTGTCGGAGTGGTACTAGAGGGCGGTCCTGGCGGAAGGTGCCCGCAGCTCCCCGCGCAATGTCGGAGCCCCTGGGTCCATCTGGGCCTCGCGAGACAGTCCTCGCACCACCGCTACGACCGCCAAGCGAGGCAGGAACGGGCCTTTCTGGCCACGGCGGGCCTCGGCCACAGACATGAGACACCGCCCTGAAATCGGAGCCCCTCCTGAGCCGTGCGCTGTCGTTACTCCGCGGATGGACTGCAACTGCTCGCGTTGAACCAGGGCCCCTTCTGGCAGCACCCGACGCCGGGCCCCCGGAAGCCCAGGCGCGGGCGCGGGGCTCGCCGGCACCGCGTGGGCAAAGACGAGATCTGAGGCGGAGGGAACGCCCCTCCTGCGCCCTGCCTCTCCTCCTCCTCCTCCTCCCTCCTCCTCCTCCTCCTCCTCCTCCTCCTCCTCCTCCTCCTCCTCCTCCTCCTCCTCCTCCTCATCCTCCTCATCCTCCTCATCCTCCTCTTCCTCTTCCTCCCCCATCTTGTTATTCTTATTATTCATATTATTAGTGCTATCATTGTGAAAGGTATTGTTATTATCATTCGTCTTCTTCATAATGGTATTAGTATTGGTATTATGATTGTTATTATTAGTAGTAGTAGTATTGTTATCATCATCATTAGTATTATTATTAGTTCTGTTATTACTATTATTATTACAATTAATATTCGTATCATTATGATTATTATTATTATTAGTATTACTACTGTTATTGCTACTATTAGTAGTAGTAGTTTTATTCTTTATTCTTATGAATATTATCATTCGTATTATTAATGTGTCTTCTTCTCATTATTCTAATATTCATAATGTGTTCCTTCTTCTTCTTAGTATCATTATTAATACTAGCATGATTCTCTTTGTCATTAATACTATTCAGATTCGTATTGCTGTTCTTATTATTCGTAATATTAGTATTAGTGATGGTACAAGTCGTATTAGTATGCTTCTTATTATTACTTATCGTCGCCTTAGTCATGCGCTATGTTTCTCATTATTCGTATGTTTTCATATTGTTGTTATGATTCGCCTTAGTCTTATTATTATTATTATTTTCATTCGTATTATTAGTATGCGCGTTCCCGTTCGTATCACTATTCATGTTAATATTAGTCTGTGCGTTCGTCTTCTTCGTCTCCTCTAAGTATCATGCGTCTTATTATTCTGATTCTTTGTATATGATCATTCGTATTCTTCCAAATAATAGCATTCGTCGTCTTCGACTTCTTCCTCTCAATGTCTTATTCGCATTCTTCGTCTTAATATGATGAATTCGTCGAATAAATATTATCTCCCCAATCCCCAACCCCTCCCCACGCCCCCCCCCGCCACCCTCCCCGACCCCCCCTGCCCCCCCTCATCACCGTCCTCCTCCTCCTCCTCCTCCTCGTCTCCACCCTCTCCTCCCCCCCTGACGCACCATTCCAACCCCCCCCCCGCCCACCCCCCTCCGCCCCCACCAGCCCCTCTCCGCCACGGCGCCACAAGACGCGACGCGCGCGCGCGCCCCGCACGCGCGCGCGCAGCGCAGCACGACGACGACGACGACGACGACGACGACAACGACGACGACGACGACGACGACGACGACGACGACGACGACAACGACGACGTCACACGCACACGCACGGCACGGCGCGCCCGCGCCCACGCCCACGCCCGCGCGCGCGCGCGAAGTCCTTCAGGACGACGGGGACTCCCGCCCAGCCAGGCCAGGAAGGCGCCGTCCTCGACGTCGCCCCCTGGCGGGCCCCTGGGCCGACGGCTGCCGCGCCAACAAGCGAGCTCATTCGGAGCGCCGTCGGCGCCGCAATCAGCTGCGGGGCCAACGGCGACCCGAAGGAGCTCAATTACCGGCGCGGCTACCATCGGGCCTCTTCGAGATCCGGAACCGCGCCCATCAGCGACAGCGGCGCGAACGCGGCGAGCTCCAGCTCGGAGGGCCGCTCCACTGCGGCCCCCAGCGCACTCTGCTAGGGGCCAGAAATTATTATCTTTCACTGGTCGGCCTGTAGATTTCGACTTACTGGCCCTCATGCCCGCATGATCGCTGATCGCGATGAGGCCGACATCTTCGCGACGCGACGCCAACTGTGCGAATCGACCGAACTTGCGATTTGAAGGAGCGCCCAGCACTGCGTCGCACGACAATTGGACACCATGTCCCGCCGCCTGCAGGAAACTCTTCAGGTGCCAATGGCGCTCTCTGGGCGGCCGGAGATCGCGGGGGGGTCCACGTCGGCCTGACCGCGCCGAGAAACGACCCTGGGCGCCGGGTGAAACCCAGATCCCCAATCCGTCGCCGAGACGTCTCCACGAGCTTCCACATCGACGCAAGTGGGCCCAATAGCTCCACGGTGGCCTCGGGAGAGCCAGCCAGAAGGAGAACCCGAGGAAGAGCGCGACAGGCCCCAAGAGAGGCCCGATACGCCCTAGAGCCAGCCCCCCGCAGAAGCACGCAAGGGACCACTCGCATCCGCCCCGGACGGGGGCGCAACCCAGACCCGCGACCGGCGAAATGAAAGATTTCGCGGTTTTGGCCCGCCCATAACAACAAAATCTTTCATTTCACCGATCCGGCCTGGCGGGGGTTCCAGGGGCGGACGCCGCGCGCGCCCTGAGGCGGCGGGCCGATCGACGCAGGGCCGCGCCCTCGCTCGAGCACGCGCCGCGCAGCACGACGACGACGACGACGACGACGACGACGACGACGACGGCACACGCACACGCACGGCACGGCGCGCCCGCGCCCGCGCCCACGCCCGCGCGCGCGCGCGAAGTCCTCCAGGACGATGGGGACTCCCGCCCAGCCACGCCAGGAAGGCGTCGTCCTCGACGTCGCCCCCTGGCGGGCCCCTGGGCCGACGGCTGCCGCGCCAATAAGCGAGCTCATTCGGAGCGCCGTCGGCGCCGCAATCGGTTGCGGGGCCAACGGCGACCCGAAGGAGCTCAATTACCGGCGCGGTTACCATCGGGCCTCTTCGAGATCCGGAACCGCGCCCATCAGCGGCAGCGGCGCGAACGCGGCGAGCTCCAGCTCGGAGGGCCGCCCCACTGCGGCCCCCAGCGCACTCTGCTAGGTGCCAGAAATTATTATCTTTCACTGGTCGGCCTGTAGATTTCGACTTACTGGCCCCCATGCCCGCATGATCGCTGATCGCGATGAGGCCGACATCTTCGCGACGCGACGCCAACTGTGCGAATCGACCGAACTTGCGATTTGAAGGGGCGCCCAGCACTGCGTCGCACGACAATTGGACACCATGCCCCGCCGCCTGCAGGAAACTCTTCAGGTACCAATGGCGCTCTCTGGGCGGCCGGGGATCGCGGGGGGCCCCTCGTCGGCCCGAACGCGCCGAGAAACGACCCCGGGCGTCTGGTGAAACCCAGATCCCCAATCCGTCGCCGAGACGTCTCCACGAGCTTCCACATCGACGCAAGTGGGCCCAATAGCTCCACGGAGGCCTCGGGAGA